CGCAGGACACCATGTTGCAAAACGGGCTTTGCAGAAGTTTAAAAAGTTGAAATGTGAAACCCTCTAGCACCCACTATATTCTCCTGTCTTGGCTTCTTCGGAGTTTCATTTGCTCCGATTGCTAGAGAACAATTTAAATAACAAAGAATTTGACTCTGTACACTCTGTCGAAAACTACACCACCATCTTCTTCCAACAGAATACAGGAAGTTTATATGAAAATGTTATCAATGAGACTGTAAAACGATGGGAGACAGTTATCAAAAACAATGCAGACTATGTACTTGATTAATAATCTTTTTTTTTGTGAGTATATAAAATGTTATTTTTAATTTTCTAATCTGGCACGAACTTTTGCAATGATCTAATACAAGTAAGGTTCAGTAGGTTGAGCCATAAATAATTTCTGCCTCTGTTTATCAACGATCTTTGTTCTTTTTGCGAAGATCATGTGGAACACAAACCGCTCTCTTGCTGACTTTCCCTATCTTTTCTAAATGTCTGCATATGATAGATTATAGTGTGTTTAACATATTTACTGATGCTTTCCTAACCACCACAATCTTACCGTCTTCAAGATTTGAGTTAACGATTGTCTTTCACATCTATCCTCATAAATCTGCGCCCTTTTACTTTCACCGCTGATGCAACAGCCTTCAATAGCCCTCTACCATGGGTGGACCCTGGACCTTGTATATGGGGAACACTACTAAAAAAACATTAAACATTCCCGATTACATTGGACTTTAGAGCTTCATCATCAAAGTAGGAAATGGAATGGAATATTTAGATTTACGAACCCCTTCCACAAAAATCCCTTGAAAAAAAAACTAAAGGAGGCAAGTAAGTTTTAAAATTTCAGACGTCAATAGTTACCAATTCTGGTCAGTTTTGTAACATTATGTGACGTAAATGAACATTTAAATCCCTATATTAGTGACTTGATGATATTTACACTTTAATCCACTGCGTAAGCTGCTACTTCGGTACAAAAACTAAGGTTTGTTAATGTCCCCCAAATTTATTAACTTCCAACAAGTTAACATTGATAATTAGAAAAACATTAAAAATATTCAACAACATTAAAGAAGATTTTTAACAAAAGTAATAGAAAAATCAGCTACAATAATCATATGAACTGTCTCTTTAATGGTCAATGTTTGACAAATAATATTGTGTATAGAGCTAACATAATCTGACAATGAGAATAAATTTTACATTGGTTCAACTGAAACGCTCTGGCAAATTAGGTTTTGCAATCACAAACTAAGTTTAAGTAACGATAAATACAAAAATAATACAGTACTCTCTAAATATTAATTCCAAATAAAAGATGGTGCAACCGTAAGAAAAATTACGTTAAGAAATAAAGGCTAGTACTGAATCTTACAATGGTAAAGCCGAAAGATGTAATATTTGAGTTCTCAAAAAATTGGCTATTCTAAAAAATATAACTAACCTTAATTTACTAAAGAAAAGAAGTGAATTAGTGGTCACATGTAGACATGAAAATAAATGCCTCTTGGAAAATGGTGAACCAAATTGATCTCAGTTTAAGTCATATATCCTCATTTTTAATATATATCGAAATATATTTATTTATTTTCCTTTATATTCAGATTTAGATAGATTATTGTATATTTATTAGTATGTATAAGTATATTCTTATTTCTTTGGATATATAATGTTCTTTTACTAATATGTATTTTGTATATGTGTATATTTTGTCATTTCTTAATATACGATGGATGTGTATGTATTTACAATTTCTAGGACACTCAGGCCGGTAAATGTAGTTAATACTGTTTATTACAAACAGGGCATTTACTTCAATAGTTATACCTATAAAAATAGCGTATAAACAGAAAATATATATATATTAAAATAAATGTCAGACAGTCCATTTCAGAATCGCTGCGATCCGAATGTTTGGAAAAGGGATGAGCATGTCACGTGCTACATATTGTGGTCGGGTGCCGTGAATTCATTGGAAGGTCAATCGTTTCTTTCATTTTGAAAAGGTGGACATCAATGGTCGGAACCTAAAGTGTGCTTCACATCGTCTCCAGACCACAGCTCAACAGGTATCGAGTTGGATCTGATCAAGATCCAAAATAAATAATGTTAAATAAAACCATGCTTCTTCCGATGTGAAGTTCTGTCGATTTCTGAGATGAAAATGTTGAACAATATTTAGTAAAGTATACCACTTCATGTTGTTTAGTAATACTACTATGAGTAATTTATAGCTTTTTCTTTCAGATTATAATATTATTCATAAGTCCGGAACTTGCCCCTATGTTCGTACCAAATAAAGAAGATGTTATAAATATTTTACTGTATGAGTTTCATAAAGATGTCAATGCATGGTCATCAGCAAAATTCACCAAGCGCTTATGGCTCGATGCAGTGAAATGAAAGATGTTGCAAGAGGTTACTTCCCGTTTGGAAACTGCGAATTTTAGTCTAGAGGATGGGTCGTCTAAAAGGAATCGATTCAGAGGATTTGGAAGCTGCTATTACAGCAAATCCAGCCTCTATGGAACTCAGTGAGAAATGTAATGTTAATCATACGACACTCCTATTCGAATTTAAAAGGTTTCAGTAGTTTAAAAATGGGTCCCGCACGACATGCCACCATAAAATCACCTCAATGTTAACTGTTACTGGCCATTGCTTAGCAAAGACTATACTTCTTTGACATTGTGGACAAGTGCCACAGAATCACAAACAAAGAACTGTACCTGTTGTGTAGTAAATAGGAAAGATTGACACACATATAGAAAATAAGAAGTAGTTAATTCCGAAGAATAATATGGTACACGGTTGAGAAGCCAGACTAATGTAATAAACGGTTAACAGTTAACTCCTCGGTATTTATTGGAGACCTCCCCATAAGGCGGATGTGTTACAAGGGCGGTTTTTAAAAATTACCCGTAGATACCGTATACACGGGGTCGGGAAGCTGTCTACCTCCCCAGATGAGACTTCCCGTAGGCACAGCCTCGTCTATTTTCCTCTCCGCCCAAAGGCAGAGAGTTGACCAGCAGAGTAACGAACAATCGTTGACTCGTCTCTCCCAGTAAGAGAGAGTGCTGTTTAAATAGTTTTAGGCCAATCCATCTTGTAGGGTGTTCAGCTACTACACAACAGTGCCAAATAACAGAAACCACATAACTTGAGGACTTTCAACGGCTGCAACGGCTATAATGAATAGCACATATAACTCGAAGAGTAAATAATGACATAGATCAAGATGTTAACATTCCACACCATTTGAAATAGAAGGTTCGAAAGGAAAGCGACAAAAGCTACTGGACTTGAGAAACTTGTTTTCCTAATAGAAAGTGTTTTGAGAGAAAGATTTGATAAATTTCAATCGAAAAAGTACTGACTGCTCGCTCAATGAATGCCGAAAGTTTCTTTATAGGGAAAAGGTTAATAGTATCATTACCATTGTCATTGCTTACAGAACTTCAGAACCTACAGAACCTGTGTGTTTTATTTATTTATTTTTTTGGACAGGCTTGTTTATTCAATTTCTTCTATTGAGAAAGATAGTATTATGCTTTTTCGTTGTTTTTTTCAGGCTTTTTAATTCAAACTAGTTCTTCTTTCAGTCTGATTGCTACCCTATTTGTTGTGGAGTTATTTCGCAGTGGAGGCTTGTATTTGTACTAAATCGGCCCTAAAATAGTTCGACGTACAAAACGTTAGGAACTTGACATAATAGGTATTACGCAGAGTAATCTTGTTGTGGTCGCTGACTACTTTCGTATTCGACTAACTGTCGACTACTGTCGTCCGACATCGACTGACCCTCGTTTCTCTTACTACTCCTACTTATATTAGGTAGGAGAGTCTATTAACTATAGAATAGGTGTGTTTCACCATAACACTGTTATAGTGGTCAGTCTATTTTGCTGCTTAATCCATAACCGGATGAGAAGAAGAAATGGATTCATGCCTTTTTTCCAAGGTCAGAATTTGAACTCGAATCGCCGATTTTACCATCCGCGACGATAACCGGTTCACTACCCACAGAATTATAATTTATCTCAATGTTTTTGTTTTAGAATTATTAGTTGTAATTGTGTCCTTTTATCTCTTAATAATGTATTCTCCTATTGCATTCTATAATCATTGGGTATTTACTTCTCTTCGTTTTTGTTCCGATCCTGAATTATCATTTTATTTGTGATCATCTTCATCATCATCATTCACATCGTCGCCATCATCACCCTCATCAGCGGTAGGAAACTATCGACTTTAATCACCAACATAATAATCATCGATATTATTCGATGCCCTTTTCTTTTGGTATTCTTATCATTTGACTCGTGGACATTGCGTTGAATTCTGTCTTGTTTGTGTTTGGGAATTTTGATTTCATTGATCTGCGTGTGTAAATGATGTCTGGCAAATGCATTTAGTGTCCTTTAAATAGAATTAATTAGGAACGAGGCAGGCGTCGGCAGAAGAGAATAAGGACAGAAGACAGGAATGAGAGGGAAATGCAAGTGAATAAAACTGAGTAAGATATATATATATATATATATATATATATATATATATATATATATATATATATCAGTGAACATTGAAGTCAACACTTAGAGGCGACAGTCTGTTTTATGCTAGACGCAATCGTCAGGCCACGACGATTGCGTCTAGCATGAAACAGCCAGTCGCCTCTAAGTGTTGACTTCAATGTTCACTTTTATAATTACACACGCTCTATCTCTGATATTGAGCACTTTATTCCATAAATATAGCACATCTTAAGACTATATTTCTTCATATATATACACACACATATATATATATATATATATATATATATATATATGTGTGTGTGTGTGTGTGTAGAGAGAGAGAGAAAAGAGAGAGATTGTGATGTGGGTGATGAATTGTTTTCAAACCTACAACCCCTTTCCCCACAGACGAAACGTTGCTAGCCTCACGTTACTCTATTCATGACAGATGTTTGGTCGAAGTACATCCCCCTGGTTCCACGAGAGAGAGAGGCAAAGACAGATAAAGAGAGACAGACAGAGGAAAATATGTGGAAATGAAAGCGATAGAGGAATGGTAACAATCGGGACTGAAAGAGTTGGCGGTGGAAGAAAGAAAATAATCAGAAAGCCAAAACGATGGAGGAAAGAACGTTTAGACAGACGAAAGTCAAGATGAAGGTTGAAGTAAATGAAAGTGAGAGAAAAGAAAAAAATTTGGGATGAGAGTATCAAATTGTTGGAGGGAAATGAAAATGGTGAAGGAAAATTTAGAAAGAGGGAAAAAGTGAAATCAGTGATGTAAATAAAAGAATCGAAATGGAGCAAGATAATGAAGGAAAGAAAAAAACAGGATTGAAACAGTGGAAGTCGTGGAGGAAATAAAAATCGAAACAGAGAGAGAATGGAGGTGAAGTAAAATAGAGAATTGGGGCTGAGGAGAGTGTAAGTGTTAAGAAGCAAGAAAATAATCATAACCCAGCTATCCGATTAACAATTCCATTACGCCACCCGCACATCCAGCACCTGGTATTCCCAAGCAGCCAAATCTAAGCACTGACTAGGTTCGACGTTGCTTAACTTCTTAAACATTCCTTTATTCCAGACTAGCAGTAGACCCCGACGTTGCCCGGGGATGTAACAGTAAGAGATAGATCAAGTATCGACCATCATAAAGACTGAAAAATAAAATTGACAAAGATTATTGTTTAAGGTTGACGGACACGCATATCTTAATTAGTTATTATTTTTTTTGTTTTTGTTTTTTACGAATTGGTCAAACTCAAACAAAAACATTGTTTTTAATCGTTATGAGTCTACCGATTGAATAGAATTTTATTATAAAATGTAAATGTAATTTACTATATTATAAAATTATAAAATTATATTATTATAAAATGTAAATGGAATTCTTAATGCATTCTGAATGTAAAAATAAAGAAAAAAGTGTGCAAGACAATAAGAAACACTACCTGCCAAAAAAAAAGTGAAGTTTTGTTGAAATCGGTTGAAAAATGTAGGAAATCCGATCCCATATATAAACGAACACACACACACACACACACACACACACACACACACAAACAACCTGGGTTTTATAATAAGTATAACTCAATATGAGTTGTCCCCCTTTCATTCTCGCGATGCCTCTTAATCGTGTTTTCAAATTGATTTTGTGCAAAAACAATGGTGTTTTTCCAATTTTTGGCGCTGTCAGAACCACCGCAAGGTAATTTTACGTAGTCCTGTGAAGTTTTATTGAAATTGGTTGAAAAATGTCGGAAATCTGATCAATATATACACACACACACACACACACACACACACAACCTGGTTTTTATAATAAGTATGATCTCGGACTTGTGCAAGGATTGTATCATGCAGCAAATATGAAAACTGAAAATAATGATAATAATAATGATAATTATTATTATCATTATTATTTGCACATAATTATTATTAATAATCTCATTCCGGGTCATAATCAATGACCTTTGACAAGCAAAGGATGTGACTTTTTGTTGTTTCCACTTCATTAAACAGCTGGCAACTATAAACAAAGAAAAGCTTAAATAGACAACGCCCTTCGTAGGATATAGGCTGTGCTTGTTAGAACCATTTTTTTGGATTTCCTGGAAAGATGGTTTGAAGCTGTTTTATTCCCGTTGTGATGGCAGATCTTCCAGTTGGTCTTACTGTTCATACTGTCAGTAACAGACATTGTGATTAAAGATTAAAAACAAAAAACTATCTTCTCATTGCAGTGTCATAAGATATGAAATACATCTCTCTGATGGTTTGATACAGATCATCAGTGATGGTTTTAGCCGAAGATCATTAGTGGTTTCAGATCTTACAACATCATACCACTTCTCCATAGCGACACGATGGATATTGGTCAGGTAGTGACTTATGTGCCAGCCGTCAGCTACAACTTTTCTAATAATGAAGCGCTATCCTAATCCACTGTCAAAAAATAATTCCTTAAGTTTTTATAGTGCAATCACAATCTGTTGGAATTTTTGGGTACCCTGGTGTACTAGTGAGCTAGCCAAAATGAGCTGACTCATTTTATAGTTCACCAATAGAAGGGTTAACCAATCAGAAGGCTCAAAATATTCAATCCGACGTGTATAAAGGCAACCATTTTGTTTTTCTCCCAAAATATTTTCACTGCCAACCTCTGATATCGAAGACTTAAAGAATTACTTAACAGCTGCTACTTTGTTCGAATCTTCACTGCCAATCTCTGATATTGAACACATTACGGACTTCACTGGATTCTATATTCAGAGACTACAGCAAACATGGTTAACACAATCAACTTACGGTACACCGGATTCTACACGCTTATATAAAAAGAAAGACAACACAGTGACTGCTTTCTTAGCAAATATAGCGACACTCTCGTCTTGCACAAGTAAATGATATAAAATCTATCTGTTAAGGACTATGGCAAAGTAAGTAAATATAAGGATAATTACTGTCATACTTATAATCATTGGAGCACTGGGTATAATTAGAAGAAGTACAAGTATTTTTTTTAACACTTCATAATTATCAGTCCGATGAACGGGTGAAGTCGTAGGGTCATTGCTGAGCACCTGGTCATTTCTCTGCGCATGTCTGGGTTGAAAGCCGGCGAGGTATTCATTACATTGAGTATTTAGACCTGGCGGATCGCATCTCTCTCCAGGCCAAACGACTGCTCATGTCCTCCAACTTGAAGGTCACGGACACGTAGCTGTTGATTCAATCGGAAAAACCCTGTGCATCGGATGCTGATTTCAATCTAGGAAGCCTTAATCCCGGCGATGCCATGTTATCAGCGTACTGGCTGCATGCATAGGTATGGAGCTCAGTCGACCCGATTGTGCTAATGTTAATTGTTTAGGGTAATTCGCTCTTTGACAGTCTGCTGAGTGTCTAGAGACACTCCTAACTGTTGACCATGTTCACCATAGTCTATGAATATAAAATACAGCGCAGTATGTAATTTGTTCAATGAAACAACGTTAAAGATTAACACTCACGAGTCAGACACGCTACTGAATCTGACTATATCGCCAATACCACCAGCAGCTGTTCCGTAATTCTTCAGTTTTCGATATCAAAGGCTGGCAGTGCATATTCGGGAAAAACATGGCTGCCTTTATACACGTCACATTGAATATTTTGAGCCTTCTGATTGGTTAACCCTTCTATTGGTGAACTCTAAAATGAGCTCATTTTGGCTGACTCACTAGTACGCCAGGGTACCCAAAAATTCCAACACTAACCAGAAAAAGCCTGGTGGGGGAACCGGTTTAGTCAGTGATGTCCCAACCGTGTAGCAGATAGTACTGGGTTACATGATACCTGCAGCAGTCGTAGACGGACATAATATAATTTCTGTTATATACCATACCTATAAACACTAATGGGTACGTCCCAATCCTCATAAATACGTTGGACACTATTGTAAGTGGGGGTAATATGCTGCCAGCGTGGGAAGCTCTTACTGTGTCAAACTCTCTGTCTTTGAGCAGAGAGGAACCCGGACAAGGCTATGCCGAAGGGCAGAGTCTCATCCGAGGAGGTAGACAGATACCCGATCCCACGTATGCAGAGTCTACGGGCAATTTTTGCCCGGGCCCATGGGCTTGGATTGCCTCACATTAAATTTGGCATCCTACCTCGTGGGGAGGCATGTAATAGGTTGTCTAATTAGTCCACCACAAGCAGTGGTTTACCTGCTTCACGTCGCTGGCGAGTATTGTATTTTGTTGATGTTATAAAGATTACCATTTCATTTCCAACCTCCGTTTTGGTTATTCCTCATTAAGTAACCTTTCGTAGATTACAACAATTTTTAAACAAAAAGAAAAAAGGCACATGAAGAAAAAGAACATAAAAAGCAAATATAGGCAAGAAAGAAAGAAGAAAGGAGAAAATGACTTGCCTGGTGGCTGAAATAGTTGCATATCCTCATTGCAGTTAGTGAAAAAAGGCGTTTCGGTATGAAATAATAGGGAGTCTGAACTAGTTTTAACTGAGTAATGAGTTCGATCCTCCATGGATACCTCACCCGAATTCCAACATTCAATAGCCCAACAAGAGCTGACATCTAAAATGAAACTAACCAACCTTGATACAAAATTAGGATTTTGAATGCTGTTCCTCAGAATAGATTGTGGATTGGCGTAGCATCATCTTCTTGCCTGTCATTTTTTTTGCATTGGCAGATTAAGCTAAACTTAGTAAATACCTTCGAGTACTTATAACAAAGAAAGAAAGAAAAAAAAGAAAAAAATCAAAACGTCTACGGGGAAGTAAAAGAAAGGAAAAATAAAACTAAAAAAAAAGAAAGAGTTTGAAAAGAAATGAAGACAGAAACAGTTGACAAAGAAAGAAAGAGAGAAGGACAGAAAGAAAAATGAAAATGTCAGCAAGAAAGAATGAAAAAAAAATCTAGAAAGAAAGAAAGAAAGAAAAACTAAAAAGAAAGAAAGAAAGAAAGAAAATCAAAATGTCGGCAAGAAAGAAAGAAAGAAAGAAAGAAAGAAAGAAAGAAAGAAAATCAAAATGTCGGCAAGAAAGAAAGAAAGAAAAACTAAACAGAAAGAAAGAAAGACAGAAAGAAAAAAATCAACATGTCTGTATGAAAGAGAGAAAAACTAAACCAAAGAAAGAGGAAAAAAGAAGAAAAATCAAAATTTCTGCAAGAAAGAAATAAAGAAAAGCTAAACAGAAAGAAAGGGAGAAAGAAAGAAATGTCTGCAAGAAAGAAAGAAAGGAAAAAAAGAAAGAGTCGGAAAAGAAAAATGAAAGTTGTACAAGAGAAAATAAGTCGAATTAATACAGAAATATTGAGAAAAGTGAATCCTCGCTTATTTAACTTAACAGGAAATTCTTTACTTAAATTACAGAATGTAACATGTTGAATCTCTCAAGACAACCCTTTTTCATTTTTTATTGTGGTGAAAAAAAAAAGAAATTACTCGATTGGATCACGTGTTAAGCGTTTGGTTTACAAACACGAGCGGATGAATCATGATGGCATCTTGAAATAAACAGTAAAAACAGTTCCTCGACAAGTATATGATTACACCTAGACAGGTGGCTACTTCTAGCCAATATCTATGTTCGTATGTTTTTTTTTTCGTTTACTACAGTGTGGCAAGCCGAGTGGGCTCGACTGAACTGTGGCAAGCTCCTGGGAGAGGAAACAGGTCTGGTGGTTCAATTTCGATAAGCTTGTGCGGAAACGGAACAGTAAAGATGCACATTTAACTTATCCGAAACCGGTTTATTATTATGGGATTACCCCACTTGTTTGCCAAAGAACTCCTGCTTCCGACCGTGAGATGGCATATCTCAACGCAGTATGTAAGTAGCGATTTTCCAAGCGTAGCTTAGATGTGGCACAAGGCCGAAAGTATGGGGCAACCAGTGAGGATCGAACTCACTACTCATTTGTAATTGTGCTAGGAGAC